TCACAACATCAAATCATGTTTGTATGGCACTTTCGCATAAGTTGGGTTTCAGGAAAAGGTAGGTACAAGCAGTCAAATCTCTACTGACTGTGCTCTCCCAAATTTTGTTTATGGTGCATAAAATGTATACATAAGATGTATAGACACAGTCATTCAAGCCAGATCAGAAATGCAAATGAGGAGCTGACCTCATTTGTTTCTGCTTATAACACAGAAATCAGGGAGGGGAATAATAACCAGAGGAAAGCAAGGAACCTGAGGCTGGAGAAGGAATTCTTGAGAGCAAAGTTCTGGAAACATATTTGAAAACCTGGACAGAGGACACAGGAAATAGCACAATCTGAAATATTGAGAGCAAATCAAGCCAAGAAAGTAGCACAAGAGACTGACTTTAAGGTATTCAGAGAAGTAATAGAATTCAGTGGGGTTTCTACCTGAACTGTGGGTTGCAAGGCATTGCTAAGTCAGCTCTTTCTGTTCTATTGCTAATGAATTAGGTTCACAAAAAGCAAGAATTTCACACCAGTGGAAGTTGAACGAAGTGGTCCCTAGAACCAGAGGAAGGTAGACAGAGATGCAGGTAAGAGGACACAGTATTGCAAATTTTTCAGAAAGTCAAACCAGTCAGTATGCTAGAGCCATAAAAGGTTTTTGCTGGCATAGTGGCAGTTAGATGCACACAAAAAGCGTATTTGAAAATGCAAAACTGGGGTTGAAGCTCAGTTTGATCTCCTTGTTTCTCCTTTCAGTTCTAACTAGACTTTTCAAAGAATCAGTTCTCCTATAGTATTTAAAGAAAAATCAAAGAAAGGAATCAATAAGGAGGGGGAAAACCAGAAGTGCCTGCTAGCAGAACACTTCTTTTTCTCTGTCATTACTGCCTGTGTTTGATCTCTGACTAAATCCTTTGCATTTTGACAATACTTAGCATCACTTGATACATTTATGATCTAAATGACCTTCCCAAATGGACATAAAAATCTACTGAACACTTAAAATGTGTTCATGAGTTAAAGACTAAGAAGAAGCACATAAGAGATATTGATGTACAGACATACAAAATAAAAAATATTTATTTGAAGAATTTTGCCCTGCCCATTTTTTCTTAATCATATTTTATATATTATCTGTTAAAAAAATAAAATTGAATCCCATTTAAAATCAACAAGCTCCTCAGGAATAACATAAAAATGGCATAAGGAAAACAAAAGAAACACACAAAACCCCCCATCATAAAGTGTTATAATCAGTGTGGAATACTGTCTTCTCAAAAATCTACTTCACACCCAGTATTAAATGAAAACCAAAGTCCCATACTTAAGTTTGTATTTTGCAAGTATTTAGCTTTCTTCAAGCAAGAGGAAGATGATTATGAGTAAGAGTCACGGGACAATTTCAACTCTTCATTCTGCTTGTGGTTTTTTGTGTGATTTCTTTTCCGCTTTCCTTGTCTTACTCTGCTAGTGTCAGTAACAGTTTGAGATCAAAAGCTTTCTGTAGTCGATGGCCATTATTTTCATAAGTAACAGATTCTATATCCAAACTGGTTTTTTTTACACTCAGTATCTTTGAGCAAATATCCGCTTAATTCAGGCTCTGAGTTCAAAGTGTGTTGGATAAAAACAGAAACCTTCACTCAGTTTCAGTTATGAGACCAATGTATGTAAATCCTTTAAACCAATATGAACTTTCACAGTAAACCAAAGAAGAGAACCAAAGAGAAGCTATGTCTAATCACATACTATCCAGTGAATCAAATAATCAAAGATTTTTGCACCTCTAAATTCTACAGTTTGATTGAATGGCATGAAGTATTTAAGAATATATTGTGTAAATTATTCAGAAATAGCATGTGTCCCCTCTATTTCTGATTTCTATGATTAAAAATGGAACTATGTCACAGCCCAGTTGTTGATATAGTCCAGTATGATGCCATCAGTATGATGGGCCCATTCCTCAGAGTGAAAGCACTGACTCCTATTTCTGTGTTTCTTGTTGGAGCCTGTGTATATTTGGTGAGTTTTTATAAAGATGTGGAAAAGAAAACTTCTCACCAGATGGCAAATACAAATTAAAAAATAAAATGCAACATTTTGTTAGTTCTTTATATTAAAACTTACGGCAATTATTAAAGTCACTCATGAGCAACTATTCATCACCATGAATAATGTTTTACAATCTACGATGTGCCAAATGTGTGAAGACTCTTCCATAAGTACTCACATGAAGCTAGAAGGATTAGTGGAGTTGTATCATATGATGAAATTAATTTTTTATCCAATCATCTAACTACATAGAAAAGCCAACTTATACAGAGAAAGCCATCTCAGAGGAGCTCAGACTGAGAGCCACCACATTTGCTATGGTAACTTCCAGTTTTTTGATAACTTTCAGTATACTGATCTATACCTAAAAAGCTATTTATTGCAATACCCTGTTGAGTTGGGTGTTAGAGAGGCTGAAGAGTCAATTTTTATCCCACACTCTAAGTAGATGTAATCACCGATATACCTTAATACTGGAAAACAACAAGGGGCATGCAGATATCTGGCATTTGGAAAAAAAATGACAAATCATTATGAGACAGAGGAAATTCTCTTCATGGCCGTGTACGACTGTTACCAGTAAGAGATAGAGGGAGAAAGGGCAAAGACACATATGGAGTGAGGTTATGGCTTTGGAAGGAAAAATACTAAGAGACAATCACTGGGAGATCAGTTACAACTAGAACAGGCCTGGTTGGGCTCTTTGTGTAACTTAAGGAAAGTACATCCAACTTAATGACGCTTGGATTAGACAAAACAATGTTCATCTAAAACTAGATGAAACTTAAATGTTTTCTCTCTTTGCAAAACTATTAGGTAAAAATTATTTGTTTTAAGAAGGACTTTTACCAGAATATCCATGGCTATGTATTCCCAAAGAGAAGAACTGCAAACGTGCAAATTTAGTCATATCTCACAACACAATAAGGGATGATATGCACTGCATAATCTGTCCAGATTTTTGTCAAAGAACAGAAGGATCACAAGATCACATTCTGAGAAAGAAAATGGCAGGAAGCTGAGTATGTTAGGTGGTAAATAAAAAAGGAAACTTTTCTTTCTATTCCTTGAGAATATTTGATTCTGAAACAAAATCTGAGTTCAGACAGAAATTCGAGTCTTATTATGATTTACTGTGATGTTTTCCTCTGAATAGTGGAGAAATACACTATCAAATTACAACATAAACATAGATTAATTTATAGTGCCATTTTAATTTCCCTAATTTAAAAAAAAATCCTAAAAGTGTGAAACAACCTCGTCCCATTGACAAGATCATGGTACATATGTAAAATTTTAATTTTATTTGCCCTGCAAGGCATTTAGAGAGTTCCAGAAGAGTAGAATACTTCACCAGCTGGGCGGTCAACTTGTTTGTACAATACAGAGATGCACCCAGTTTTTACAAGCCTATCCAGCAAAGTCCATCTTCTAAGTGAGCATTTAGGGAAGAGAAACACATAAAGTGCTTTGTGCAACTCTCTCATATAAAGTGGCTTTGCAAAATCAGCTTTTTAGCGTTGCTTTGTTCTGCAGTAATCTCTCACTTTTGGCTTGTGCCATGTATTAGGTTGTGTCCTAAACCAACAAGCTCAAGAGTGGAAGCATGTTGGAAATTAAACACAAACAGTGCAGGGGATTTACTAGAAGTCAACTTGTTTGGTTTACATATTCTGTACTCTGAATTTCCCACTCATTTTTTAAGAACTAACCTGCTAGTAGAACTGCAAAAAACTGGCATCCCAACATATGGAGACTGTTATACAGGTTGCAAAAGCCAATATACAGAAATAAGGGAACAGCAGGGGTACTACATCCAGTGACAAAGTCACAACCCCTGGCCTCCTTCTGTTACTGGCCTCTTGGCTTGAGAAATTATACCTAACAGCACGGTATCCTAGAATTTAAACTATTATTTTCTTTGTCTTTTGTGTATTATTGTAACTCATTTGCTCCAATAGTTCCAGTTTAGACTCAGCTTTATCAGTTGAGCAATTTATGTTTGGAGAGACCAAAAACTGTTCACTCCACCACTGCTTACCAATTTTTATTGTGCTTTCTGGTCTTGTTCTGTCTAATTTAGGAGTACCACAGCAAACAAAACTATAAAACTGTTCTGCAAAAAAGGACTTGGTAAAAAGATTGATAGCAAAATCACAATACTCCAATCCTGAATATAAATTGTGACTATAACCCACAAAAGAACAAAAGGCATTCTTGTAGTAATTTAATTGAGGAATTATTATAGTAGGAGAGTAATCATTCTTGTCTGTAGTCCTCAATTAGCATTAACTGTAAGAAAAAGCTTATTAGGAATATTTAAATTTTAAAGTCCCCCTGCGCAAGTGTATCTGAATTCCCAGAAGTTAGTTATAGTGCAAAATGTATTAATTAAAATACCGCTTTGGGAAATCCTTCTTTATCCAGTGTTCATTATTAAAATGAAAGATAGTGGAAAGGTTTTGATTTTTATAAAGATTTTAGTGATCGTGACAGGGATTCAAAGAGTGAAAGAGAGCATTTGAAATGTTAATGAAATTCTGATAATTTCACAGGACTTAGTCCTTTTATGACACTTCTGCCCCAAATGAAGGATCCTTGCAAATCTTAGACCACAATTCCACGTTTCTAGGCCCTTTTGAAAATGCTAACTTATGCAGCCAAAGATCCAGACTAATCTGTAACTTTTATCTATGCTCACAAACCACAGGAAAATAGGTTTTCCTAATTTATCACAAACTCCTAATTTGACACTCCCAGCTTAACTCTGTGGGCAAACTCCTCTTTTTAACCAACAAGAACTGAAAAACTGTATTTTTACTGGCCGGCAGAAAAAGACCTGAGTCTTTTTGGAGACTGTCAATATTAGGCATTATTATAGTATATCTATATAGTATTATTTATAATATCTATACCGCTGCTTAATGTTTGAGCATACCACAGATTAGCTTTTACCTCTTTTCTTTGGAATTCCTTCTGGGGTTTGGTCATGGATAGTCATGTCTATGCCAGTTTTTGTATTTCAATTCTTTAAAACAAGTGTGAGATGAGGAAGATTTCTGCATCTAGGGACGCATTTTCTTGCTGCTCCTCAGAGACACTGAAGACTCCGAACAGAAGCAGTTTGGACTGCGTTACTTTTTAGAGGCTAAAATTTCTGTCATCATTGCTGCCTCTGCAAAACAAGAGATAAAGGAAAGGAGTTAAATATATAAGGGTGCCTATAAGCTTACCATAGCATAGCAAATGTAACCTAAGATGTATTAATAGAAATATTCCCAGCAGAGGCAAAGAACTCTAAGTGATGCAGTAAGATCACCTCTCAGAGACAGTTTAAGGTTGTGATCACATATGCAATATGAACTAACATGGGAAAGGCACAATAAGGGGTACCATGATGACTATGGAAATAGAAAGCATAGTTTTTGAGGACAGTTCAAAAGAGCTCTACTTTGTTTAGGCTAACATAAGCCAAATACTGAAAACAGAATACATGCTAATTCCATATAAATGGATCAAAGAGGTAAACAATAAAAATTTTAAGCCAGAAATAAATGTTGGCACAAGCATACACAGTGTAAACTAGCAATTAATAAATTTAGCATATGGTTTGGAAAAAAAAATCCTAAACGTTATAGGAATGTCATGGCAGAACATACTTGCCTTTGGCATAGTAGGTCTACAGAAGAAAAACACAGGCTTGGGTTTTTTTCAGTATGAAGGTAAATTTATGAAGGTATTCATGTAGCACAGTGGCTATGATCATGAAGGATGAGTCCCTTGTTCCCCCTATGGACACTGCAATTAAAAGACAGCAACTTTTCAGCATCAGGAGTCCTTTAAGATATGCTGTCCATAGTCATAATTGCACAGCAAATGTTCAGACACCATCCACAAGAGCCAGAAGAACCTTTTATCTTTGCAGTAGAATCCTACTCTGATGCAGGTGTTGACTATTTACTCGTCTCTCATCCTGAAACAGATGTTACATTTGGCCAGGCATATTGCACCCTTAATCCCATGGCCTAAATCAACTACAGAGACAAATCTCTATAGACTCTACTAGGAAACCTGACAGATAGGTCAGAGGTGAACACCTCACTGTAGACACTTAAAGGTGGGTGAGCTGAAGTTACCACGTGCCTCAGATTTTAACAAAAGTAACCTCCAATTTCAAAGAGAAACAACAAACCAAACCAAACTAAATGCACCTCTAATATGAAACCTTTCACTAAACTGAGAACACCTACACCTCTAGTTTTGAATTTGTAATCCACATATGGAAATACCATGAAAGGAAGTGCACTTCTGATACATTATCGTAATGGTTAGTTAAACAGCAAATGCTTGCTAGCTATGGGCTTATACAAGTTCTGTGTCAAAGATTTAATGGATCATTTGCAAAGTTTAGAACTCTGCAACTTGGTAGCAAACTCGTTGCTTCTGGCCTGGCCTGTAATTTTATAAGCATAAACTTTATAAATCAAAAGCAACTCTGAAATGCATTTTTCTATGGTTCTAAACTAACTAGAAAAATTGCAGCTAGAATTACCATATATATTCAAGCTTTTGATCTCAAATGATGGTTTAATCATATATTAATCATGATTTACACGCTGGCTGTTTGGCATGCAACATCTGGATCTATTTGTTCCACGCCAAGGGAATGCAGAGAAGACAACATGTTCAAAATCTCCAATTTAATGTAGTTTTTATGTATTTGGTTTGCTATCTTTGAGTTGCATTTGCAGACGGTAACTGTGACTCTATGGACAAGTAAATCTGTATCAACCAACTTGTCTAGCATAAGAAGAGAAATTATTTGCATGTGCCTGTCAAGACAGTAGTAATTTCTATGAGATTTATTATACTTTTTATAGAAAAACTTTATGATTTGCTCATGGAATATTGCCGCAGGAAAGACAAATGAAAGATCTTAAAAATTAGTTATAAAATAATGTCTTGAAGAAAAAAATCTTCAAATGCTTTTGTTGCTAAAAATGTGGAGAAGTTTTGTAAAACGAACAAAAGAATTTCAATATGTATCAAGCATTATTCATATTCTTTAGCTAACAGCAATTTAGTAGCACTATCTTCCAAAAACCTCTATTACTCAAATGTTATCCTGTAGCAGGATATTCCCCCTCAAGACACTAATTTTATATTAGCATCTCTTTCAGTTAAGAAAATAAGAGGAAGAAGAAAGGGTGGAGGAATCCACTGTCTGCAGCTATTTTCAGGATGTGAACCTGAAACCCACTTTTTTGTGTATTTTTCCCGTGATTGTTCTGGTTTTCTCACAAGCAAGGGGACACCCATTACGGCCACACCTCAGCACCCGTCTGTTCGCGTCCTGGGCGCTGAGGGTGTAGAGTCCCTGGAACCATCCCAGCTGCCGCCGGTGTCCACACAGAGAAAGCTCTGATGCTTTGTCAACCGCACGGTCATTGCTCTTTATATGCTTCACTTTAGTGTCCGGGGACGTCGTGGAGCCTCCCTCTGTGGAGACATTCAAAACCCACTCGGATACCTCTCTGTGTAACCTGCTCTAGGTGACCCTGCCTTGCTGGGAGGTTGGACTGGATGATCTCCAGCGGTCCCTTCCACCCGAACCATTCTGTGATTCATGTACAAGCGCTGCTCTTGGAAGAAGATCTCGATCACAGCGTAACCTCGACATATGGGCTACAGGACACGTCATATCGCACCAGAGCCAGGATAAGCCTGTGTTTTACAGGGAGATGCCCAGATCCGGTGCCCTGCTCCCTTGGGAGCACCCGACTAGGGCGCAGCCTGAGGGCGGGTGACACCACCCGGGCCCGGCGGGGCGCAGCGGGGCGCGGGATCCCCTTCGCCGGGCGGCTGCGAAAGGGCGGCGGGTTCGCGCGCCGGTGGGGTGGGGTCGGGAGCAGAGGCAGAGCTGGAGGTCGGGGCGGGGAGAGGCCGCCGCGGGGCTGTGGCTGTGCGGGGCCGCCCGGCCAATGAGAGCGGCGGTTGTTGCAGGGCCGGGAGGCGGCGTTGCCACAGCAGCGGCGGTCGGAGCGGAGCCGGAGCCGCAGCCCGATTCCGAGCCGGCGGTGGGGCGCGCCATGGAGGGGCTGGAAGGTGAGGGGCAGCGGCGGGCTCCCGGGGCGAGGCGGGCTGGGCCGCGCCCCTGTGCTGTGGCGGGGCGTTATCGGGTGGTGGTGGCGACGGCGGGAGCCGGGCCCGGGCACCGCCTTCCCCGTTCGCGGAGCCCCCCGGGCGGCAGTGCTGGGGCGGCGGGGCTGAGGCGGGGCAGTGCCGCGGGAGGGGGCGGCGGACAAAGGCGAGGGGCTCGGTCCCGGCGCGGAGCCCGCGGGGCGGGGACGGCGGCAGGACCGGGCTCCCCGCTTTGTCTCGGCTCCGCACCGAGCCCCGCCGGCCCCTCCCTGTGGCGGCCGCGCTCGGAGCCGCTCGGCGGGTTGCCCTTAGGCGGGGTACGGTACATCCTGCGAGCAGCTTCGCCAGCAGCCCTTCTTTTTGCGAACAGATGGCTAAGGTGGGTGTTGGGATCCGCTTGTCATGCTAGGCGAGTGTTGAATGCGGTGAAGAAAACTAGCTATATGTTTGCTGACAGGGTGTTTGCAACTTTGTCCTGTGCTACTTGAATTAATGGAAATATCCTTGATTTCTGGAATATCTGTCCATAGATATCAGCTTGGAATTCATGAAGTTACAGCTTGCAGTCTGAGCATTTTAGTAGGCCTGTCATTACTGTGTTTTGCAAGCAGCTTTTACCATACTACTTAAGAAAAAAGAGAGACCTGCTCTGAGAAACTGTCACAAAACAGTCATTAAGTCTTCCATGCTCTACTTCTCTAGAGGTAATCGAGTGCTTAAATAGGTGTAAGCACAAACTAGCCTTTGTTCTTTATCCCCTCTAGCGCGGTTGGAGAACTGAACTAATTTTCACAGAATACTTGTGATCTTAGTAGATCTGTGTCTTTAGTAGATTTTACAGTAGTCAGACTCTTTTCTTGTGCTTAGGGACTTCATCAAGATTAAAAATATGGACAGAATTTGGCATTAAAATCCCAAGATTTTTTCTTTTATTTGATTTACTCAACATTCTTTGCTAATGCTTTTGAAATCTGAAGGGTGGTGTCCAGCATTCATAAATAATGCCTTATCAGGCACTCCAACTCTCATGACAATCGTATGTTATCTGTACAAAAGGGGAAAACTTGCTTTAATTTTGAGTAAGCTGTGTGTTTGACTGCATTTGAGACTGTACATCATGTGCAGCCCATCTATCAATTGATATAGCTTTGAGCTAATTTACCAAGGCCAGCTGTGCTATCTGTGTTGTATAAGCTCTAGCACCTTCATAACACAGGGTAGAAGGAAAGTAGATCTACAGATAGCAACAAAAACCTGAAAAAAACTTGTGATTTTTTTTTTCAGTAGGATTTATCCAGTTTCTGACTTTGCTGGAAATGGTTTACATCTTGTTTGTATATCAGAAGGCACTGTGAGCGGTGGGAGGAAGAACTGCTAAATCATAGGTGAAATCTCACGTTCATACTGAACCTTTTTGTGAAAGTACTTTAAAAAGCAGGAGCTTGTCAAAGCATTTTTTCCATGTGAAATTTCACATTTCCATGTGAAATTTCATGTGAAATGATCCTTTTGAACACTCGAGATTAATTTGAGAATAGCAGAGGAAATAAGTAATTTCTAAAACTTTAGTTGTCCTTGCCTTGTGAGCACTCATATCTCCCACTGCTATCCAGCGTCCTTGAATGCAAAAGTTCTTGAGACTGAAGAACAGTTTTCTGCATTTTTGTGCTCTGTTTTTGGTTTTTTTAACAAAATTTTTTTCAATGAAATAAAATACTCCCTTTCCTGTTTCAAAATATTTGAAGCAAGTGGGTTTGCTATTTTTTTACAGCTTTTCAACTTACAGACAGTTTGGACTATCTTTCTTGATGCATATTACCTTAGGCTCAGATTAAGTTTTTGTAGAAAGGTCGCCCTAAGAAGGGAAAATGTAGGCAAAACCAATAACAATAAATTATTTCATTGGATGTTATGCTTTTGTCCAGTCATTGCTCCATTGGCAACTCAGAAGAATATTACTGGTTGCCATTTTAGATTAAATTTGTGTTTGGATGTGTGGTTGCACAGTCATA